ACGATTAAATTTAATACGGACTGAACCGTCAGTAAATTGTTGAATATCTTGGATATCTTGACTAGTGGATTGTTGTTGATTATGTTTGTAATTTTCATTAACCGTAATCCATTGATCAGGGAGAGTAATATCTTTCCATTCTATCATTTGAGGAATATTTATATTAGTATCATTGTTACTAGTTTGAATCAGTAATGTTTTGTCCTTAGGACTTTTATGTAAAGCTTGAACATTTAAATTGGTTTTAATACATTTATAATGGACACGGTAAATTAAAGCAATATTATGAGTTTTTTCTTTCATGTTAGTAAATGAACCATTTAATTGAATATTTAAAGTTAATGCATCTAATATGTGTGGATCTCTAAGACTGAGTGTGAAATTAGGAAAAGTCTACTCAATCAAGATACTTCTACTCAATCAGAACCTTTATGGGCCCACCACCTATATTGTGTTTCCATATGTATAGGCTAGCGGGTGGTACACGTGTTAACGTATACAATTTGAATAAGTAAGAATAAAAACAAATAATTTAGAAATTAATATTCTAATATGTATATGTTGCCCAAGTGATGTGAGACTTCTTAATGAAATCGAAGGTCTTGGGTTCAAACCTCTTTCAACACTTTATGTAATTTTTGTTTTTAGGATAAAAAAATATGCCACATGGCATGAGGAGAAGGCTTGGACACCAAATCTAGCATTCACTTAATAATAGTATAGATAGATAGATATGTATATCTTCTACACTTCTATTTATACTATTATTAAAAGTGAACAATTCATTTGATTTTATGAACCTCTTTCTCTCCTTTTACCATACCAAGTGGATTTCTCTTCTTGCGTCAAGTGTCAATTTCTCTATTCAAAACGGAAAAAAATTATAGTGCTAAGTGGCCTTATCTTTCTCTTCTTAAGTCAAGTGTCAATTTCTCTCTTCAAAAGGAAAAAAAATTATAGTGCCAAGTGGCCTTATCTTCTTGCGTTAAGTGTCAATTTCTCTATTCAAAAAAAAAAAAAAAAAAAAAAAATTTCTAGTGCCAAGTGGCCAAGTAGCCTTATCTTCTTTCGTCAAGTGTCATTTCTCTATTCAAAAGGGGGAAAAAAAATTATAGTTACACAAGGGGCCACAAGACCTCAACCAATGACCATTGATTGACATAATAAAGAACACTTTTCACCACTTAAATAACATAAAAAATATGTTTTAAATTTAAAATTAAAATTTATATTTTAAACACACCTATCAGGTGGGCTCACATTCTTAGTATATATAGATGCACGCAAATAGAGCTAGAAGTAGTTGAAAAAGACTATTTAAAAATCAAACTTAGAGGGAGAGAGAAATATTGTTCAAAGAATTTTGTTGCCAAGCACATTATATCCAAATAAATAGAGGCAAACCAGATTAAAAAATAAAAAATAAATTTTTGTTAAAAAAAGTTAGAGAGAGATGCAGTGGGTTGTATATAATTCGTTTTGTTTGGTTGCTGTTTCATACCATCTAAAAAGCTTGTACTCATTCATTATTCATACTATTCAATACAGAATTTCTCTTCTCTCTCTCTAATATATCATAATAGGGTATAAACCCCTAAAATTGTAGGCAGATTGACAGGTTCAGGTCAACATATAGGCAGATTGGCGAGTTCGAATCAAGCTTACCAGCTCTAGAAAATTTGTAAAAGGGGTTCGAATTTGTTTAGCTTTCGTATCCATACAAAACTTGATATATTTGATTTTTCTTATCTTTCATGTTTTGCAAATATTTTTAAAATTATAAAAATTTATAAATGGACAATTATTGTCGTCGTTCTACCCATCTTTCAACATTTTCCTTCCTCTCTCATAAGTGCAATTTGTCATGTATGTTTTCATTCTTTATGCTCCCCAACTTGTGAGTCAACCAAAAATAAATAGAAAATTCCAATGAATGTTTTGTGATATAATAGCTCTTGCCAAACTTAACTCATTAATCTATAAAGTTCACTCGCAGAAAACAGTTTACAATTAAGTTGTCGTTTGGCAAATTTTATCGTTTATTGTTTTTTTTACAAGAGACAATAAATATGTTTATGTTTATTTTCAGTAAAAACAAAAATAAAAAATATGTTTGGTATATAAATATTTTAAAATTTTATTTTGGAAACAAGTGAAAATAGAGGCTACGAGAGGTGATTGTCGACGGTTAGAGATGGTGGATAGAGGTAGTTGTTGGCAACGAGAGGTAATGGCTAGAAATTGTTATTGACCACAAGACGTGGTTGGAGATGATGACCGGTCAGCTACCTAAAGCTATAACTGAAGTGGTTTTCAATAAAAAATAGTGGTCAAAGATCGTTATCGCCTAGTTTGTGGCGATGGAAGGTAATTAGTGGTTGAGGGGGTGTTGTGATTGCACTACTACAAAATCATAAATAGATCACAGATTTTAGGTATGATGTACGTTATTTAATCACGAATTTTTTATTTTGTCAAAGAGTGATACTTGAGAGCGTGATTGTTAAGAATTATTTTTTATCACACTTTTTTACTGTCATTAAAAAGCAATTTCATCACATGTTTTGATCGTGATAATAAATATTTAGATCATAGATTTTAAGTGTGACTAATAATCAATTAAACTTGAGATTAAATTTAAATAATTCATGATTAATAATGAAATAAGATCACAATTATATATATTTGTCATCACAATTAGTGCAAGTGATAAAAAAAAAAAAGATTCAACCACAAAATATGACTACTAATTACAACGTATAAATTGTAATTAAAATCTAAACAGAACTAATATCTAAAATATAATCAATATTATTTGTACAAAAATTTCCTTTGAATCACAACATTGACCACATATGAATAACTAATAACCTCCTTCATATATTTCATAAACAAAACTCGAATTTTGGAAAAATATATACAATGAAAATTAAGGAATAAAAGTTTTTTTTTAACTGTGATTACACAAGAAAAATCTCATTAAAAAATAAAAAATTTAAGGAAAACTCAAAAGTTCTTGTATATTCAATCTTCTTTGACCATAATTTCCATCTATCCAAGCAATTTCTAACCTGAATAATGAAAATACAAATTAGTTCAGAAGTCGCTAGAAACATAGAAATAAACTTACTAATTTGTTCAAAATTAAAGAAAACAAAAAATAGAAGGAAAAAAAATCTAAAAAGTTAATAGGATTTATCAGAGTTTGAATCAATCAACTAAACTTGAAATTAAATGCAGGGGTAACATCAACTGGATAGGTAAGGAAAAATATAAAATTCTTGACTAGTGGTCTAAGAACAAAGAAGAACAGATTAAAATGGAGAGAGAGAGCTGAGCAATACACTATACAAAAGAGGGATACCTAGTATTTTGTCGACATGTCAAGCATTTTCCAGTAAAAAAGATGTCACAGAATCACATTACTCTCTTAATCAAGATGTAACACGATTTAGAGTCTCTCTAGAGAGTAGCCCTTGGAGTTGGGGCCAACGAAATAATTCAAACTCCATAATCTATTGAAGTATGAGTACTTCGAAAAACATGCCGTATCCATATCGGGTACCTACCGGCATATGGTACCTCGTATGGTACTTCTGCATACGAACCGGTACATGAAACACGTACCTACTTTTTTTCTTAATTTTTAATGTACCCATACATACCTATTATATACCCAAGCCAAGTCGTACCGTACCTCAGTTGAAGCAATATTTTCTTTTACTACTGAGATAAAACTCCTTTCACTAAACTTCTTTTTTATTTTTAGTTTTATGCTTAGCATGATTTTAAAATTAAACTATGGTTTGTAGGTTATTTAATATATTAACATTTAATTTTGATTTATACTTTTACTTTTGGCATTAAATGTTAATTATAGGTTGGATCTTAACAAATTAAACCATTTAATTAATTTTTACATTACTCTAAATTAAAAATAAATATTTTTTTACAAACGTACCAAGCCGTACCCGCACCCTACTTTTTTTGGATTTTACCGTATCGATATACCCGTATCGTACCAGTACTAGTACTCATACCCGTGCTTCATAGTACATAATGTAAAAATGGAGAAAGGGTAATTCATATAAAAATGAATTAGGGTTCAGGTTAGGGATGAAAGAGCACTAACGTAGTGCTTGGCCAATCCCAAAATAATACAAAAGCCTCAACTTCAATGTACTAAAATTTCATTGCTTCAGCTGGCAATAACAGATGATTTTGTCCCTAGTTAGTGCTTAAGTTGATGATAAAACATAACCATTTCCATTAGATAAATAATAAATAGAACAAAAACCGAGGTTATTAAAAATCAATACCAATTGAAGTAACGGAGCAGCTAAAAATAAAAACCTTATGCTTGACAATGGGAAAGGGTCATGAACTTTAGAAGATGAAAAGGTGGTTCATTAATCTCAGAACATCGTGCTATATATGAAGGAATAAATCATAGAGGAAGGAATGAATCACAGTGGGGATGAGATTTCAATTCAGAAGTTACTTGAAACTTTCACCTAAGACCCAGCTATGTTTGCCATTTTCAGAGTGTTGTGTTACAATTATCACCTCCTCTCTGAAAAGAAAAAACAAATATACTATGATTAGTGTAAACAATCTCTAAAACATTATGATTAAGCAAGAAGCTGAACAGAGGCACTACATTTAAATCAAAAATGAAAAGGAATCAACATGAAAAAAGAGCACACGAGATCACCATATACATAGGAAAATTTATGTGTATATATATACACAGCTACACAAAGTCACAAACATCTAGTAGTAGGCAAGCACTTTGTAAAGGTCTTCTAATAAACTATATTTGCATTCAAAAAGCCGCCTATAATTGGAGACCTAAAAGAAGGGACAACAAAGCAAAATGGATCAAAGGTCAACAAGATTTGAGTCAACTTGCTTGGCTAATAATGCAAAGATATATTATAATTATAGGCAGCTTCCATGCATGCAGCTAATTGTTGGTTAGTGTGTTTAAGCCATGGGATACCTGGTTTATTAGGTATGCTAGTGAATGCTCTTGGCGAACTGACGCTTGTAAAAACAAGACTTCAACTCAAGCCATTCAATTTCCTTCTTGGAATTTTGTTTCTCCTGTAGAACAAAGAATGATGTCATTAATGAGCACTTGAACAAGTTCATGGATGACAACAAAGCAAATGACCAGAAGAACTTCGCGTGTTTACAGCCCTATAACATGAGCACTAGGCATGCAAATGAATGAAGCATTCACAATCTAAAAAAATATTCATCAACAACATCAAGTTTCAAAGCTTGAATAAGAATTGGCTAGAACATCTAAAGAATGAGAAACAGATAAAACTATCATACTGAGTATCTAAAGTCAGTTACAAAAGAAGTGGCAATTCCTATCATTGATAGAGAGATACAGACTGGAATAGCATACCTAGATCTTCCAGAGCTACTGCTTCAACTGATTATTCAGCTCTCCCTGCTGAGCTGCACATGCTCTAAAG